GAAAAAAACGGTTATTAGTAACCGTTCGTAATAAAGAAAAAACAAAAAAAAAATTATAAAGTAAAGATTCGTACTTACGAATCTTAATCTTTGGGTTTTCGTTTTTCAGAAGCCCACCCGATCCTATAAAAAAAAAGAAAGAATGGTTAGTAAACCATTCGTAATAATAATAAATAAATAAATTAAAGATTCTTACGAATCTTTGGATTTTCGTTCTTCAGAAGCCCACCCGATCCTATAAAAAAAAAGAAAGAATGGTTAGTAAACCATTCGTAATAATAATAAATAAATAAATAAATTAAACTAAGATTCGTACTTACGATTAAACCAAAAAAAACTCTTCCCGCCGATCGTTCGGTCACAAATTTTGCACTAGTAGTTTGAAGAAATATTTTTTGTTTATTATCGTTTAAAGTCATAGAAAATATTGTTTTTTCATTATAGAATTTGGGAAGAGTAATATGGAAGGGGTAGAATTTACCCAACCTTCAGGAAGTAGCATTTCAACTGCTTCGACGAGCTCTTCGATAGCTCAGCAACCTATACAGACGAATAGTAATACTAACGTAAGGCTTGAGGCCTCTATGCATGCTCAAACTAACGAAAGTCACCCTGGTCAGAATACAACTTCTAAAGAAGCAAAGAAAGACGATGGTTGGACTATTATTAAAAAGACTCAACGTTTTAGTATCTTTATCCCTCAAGATAGACTTCCAGGCGATAATATTATTGCTAAGAAAAATTTTGTCTATAGGAAAATTTTGGATGTACTTGGGCTAATTTCATTGGCACCAACTTCCATTAAAGGTATTAAGGTGATTCGAGCAACATATGAAACGGAAGCACAAGCGGCTGAAGTTTGTGCCAAGAAAATTGCAGATGATAATGATATAAGATTTGCTAAATTGGAAGTAATCAACAATCAGTAACATGATAATCTTAATGATTATGAAATTAAAATCTGGGATGTTCCACTAGATGTGGACAAGCAGATGTTAGAAGTATACTTGAAAAGTTTTGGACCAATTAAAACCCTCAAATTTAATGTAAAAAATTTATACTATGAAGTAGTAGTTAGATTCAACGGTAAACAAGTAGAAAAAAAATTTAAAGACTTATGGTCATTGAGATTTTGCAAGTATGCATTTAGGATTTTTCCATATAATTTAACCAAGGACGAAAGGAATTTACATTTTAAATATGGGTTGAAATTAGCTAATTTACCTGTAGGTACATATGCTGCAGATTTGAAAGATATTATTATACAAATGAAGGCGAAATCATGTTTCGTACCTAAGAATAGGTTTTCAAAAAATTATGAGAAAGAAAGGTTTGCATTTGTCTTTTTTGATAATGAGAACGACTTTAATAATGCACTGGTAAAAAAATTCTCTTTCAACAATCGAGGTTTAGTTTTTGTTAATTATTATGCAGTCACGTGCCACGTATGTGGTTCTCCTTATCATCGAGTTAGAACATGTCCAGAAAATCAAAGGAAAAGAAACTTGTCATTAACACACGAAGTGTATCAACAGATTTATAGTAGATACGGAGTAAAAGCACCCAGACCAAGTATGGGATTTAGACCATTATTCCCTAGAAATTCACAATATCAGTCTGATGAGTCAGAAGTTATGCACAATTGGGATGAGCAAGTTGAACAAGAAATGCCATTACAAGGTCCTTCAAGTTATGCTGAGGCTGCAAAGAAAATTAAGACAGTACCTAATGTACGAGCAAATGTTTTAACATCAAGTCAAGGTTCATCTCAATCTTACAAAGGAAAAGGAAAACAACAAGAGACACGAGAACCAGTAAGAAAACCTTGGAATCAACAGAATATTAATCCTACGCCAGTTAATAATGAGGGTTATAGGCTGGATAGATTGGAACGACATATGGAAAAATTCATGAATATGATACAGAGATTGAATGAGAGGGTTTCAAATCTAGAAATTAATTATATTAATCAAGCTGAGATGTTGAGTAATAGACAAATAGATCTAAGGTTTGCTAAAGATGATAATACGTTCATGAATAATAATAATAAGAGGGTAAAAGAATTTCAACAAACACGTGATGTATATATTGAAAAGAATGTTTTGCCAAATGCACAAACTCGTACATTATCTCTTATGGAAGAAGATAACGAAGTAAATAAAACAGTTGAGACAGAAAAGTTTATATATGAACCATCTACCATGTTGGGTATATCACCTTCGTCCCCAAGTAGTCAAGAAGGAAATACACAAAGATTAGACAATTTTGAAGCCAAAATGGATAAGGCGTTTAGTATGTTAACAAATATGACAGGAAAATTTGACCTTTATATGAATAATCAAACACCATATATCAACGAAGATAGGGCTAGGGAATTCAATAACGGAACAACCAACCCCAATATAATCAAAAATGATTGTACAACCTATAGATATTCGACCATCTATTGATGGTATTATGGACATTAAAAATACATTTACAATTAATGTGTCAGGACTAAATACAACACTTAAGCAAGAACAAGTTTTAAATTATATGAAAATTAATAAGATTAGTTGTTTAATAGTTACAGAAACAAAACTTCAAACTGCTAGTGCGAAAATGATTTATAAAGATTATAAGGATATAACGACTTGGTGGTCATGCGACGATGACAACCATTTTTTGACTGGAGTTGGAATTATAATGAATAATGATTACGCAAAATATGTTATTAAAAAAGATATTATCGAAGGACGAGCTCTAAAACTTACGTTACTTTTGAAAGGAAAGATTCGTTTTACAATTATCTCAATTTATAACTTTTCGAATAATAGTTATAAAGATGAAATTTTGGAATTTTATACGAAATTAGAAGAAATTTTAACAGCCGAGAAAAAATTAAAAGCTAAAATAGTTTGTATTGGAGATTTTAATGCAAGTTATGATACAGCGATAGTTCAACAAAAAGCAAATCAAAAAATTTTCTGGAAAGATCGAATTTTTCAGATTTTAAAAAAGAACATTATTATTGATATTAATTTAATTTACCATGATAAACCGTTGAATACATGGAATAGATCAGATAAAAAATCTAGAATTGATTACATATGGGTCACAGAAGATTTAGTACCAGATACCATATACGCGTCTACGAATAAAGTCCACATATTTGAAACCGATCATTCAGCTGTTACGGTATATTTCCAAATAGATGATCTGTTTCGTACAAAACAATTATTTAAGAAGAAAAAACATAATAATAATAATTTGAAAGTGGATTATAAGAAAATAGATAGTCAATTATAGGAAACATACGCAGAAAAATTAGGAAAGTTATTGGATAAAGAAAAAGATTTAATTAATAATGTAGAAATTTCGATCAAGAATATAAATAGAATATGGAACACAATCCGAGATACGTTTAAAAAAGCTAATAATGAATTGCTGAAAAAGAAAGGTAACCTGAATAAAGAAGTGTTACCTAAAACTATCGTGTTTTATAAGAGATTTTTACATAAATTATCATTTATTTTAACAAATTTAACGGAAAAAAAGATCATGAGTTTGAATTTAACTAATTATAGAGAATGTAAAAAATTTATAGAAAAGCATTATGAAACAATATCAGAAATATGTTTTAAATTTGCAATAGACATAGATGGACTGCTCGATAAAAATATAAAAGAGTTCAAAGAAATAGTCAATATAGCCTTTAAATTAGTTCTGGTTAATTTTGTTGAAGAAAGTCAAATATATAAAGAAGAGAAAATGAAGTTTTATATTCAACGACGGTGTGAGGATCTACAAGACAATAAAAAAAGGTTCCTAGATTTCACTTTGAATAGAAAAAGAAGTAAAATTGTCCTGGATAAAATAGTGATAGAAAAAAATTCAGTAAAACAATTAATTTTGGATGAAGAATTGATAGAAAATGAGTTGATCGAACATTTCAAATCATTTGCGGGAAAAAAGTTGAATTCAAATGAAACGTTAAAAGGAAGCTGGATTTATCAATATAGTCCTAAAGAAGATATAAATGAATGTTGGTATAATGAGGTTATTCAACCTATTAGTGAGAGTAAATGGGACCATATGATTAGACAGCTAGCAAATGACAAAGCGCCAGAAATCTCCCAGATATCGAATGAAATGCTCAAACATATGGGAACTTCAATAAAAAGTGCTACGCTAAAATTAGCAAATTTATGTTTACAAGTTGGTGATATCCCTGAAGAATGGAGACACGCGTTATTGTATCCTATCCCGAAGACAATGGATTGGGAGTACTCATTAACAAAAACTAGACCAATAATACTCCTAGAAACTTTGAAAAAAGTGTTAGTGAAAATTGTTACAAAAAGATTATCTAAAGTTATTGCAAAACGTAATATATTAAAAGGAGGCAACCATGCGGGACTCACTGGTGGATCTACAGAGGCGCCTTTAAGAATCATTAATACTTGTATCGAAGATGCAAAGAAGAATAATAAAGAGTTATGGTTGACTTTTCAGGACCTTTCTAAAGCTTATGATAGGGTAGATATTAAGATGCTTAAATTAGCACTGCAACGAATTAAGATCCCAGAGGTTTTGATCTGTTTGATGATTAATTTATTTACGAATAGTAAAAAAAGTGTTATAAAAGAAAAAGGAATAACGAAACAATATACGTCTATCATTGGAATAGATCAAGGTGAGGTTATTTCACCGCTGCTATGGACAATTTATTATGATCCATTGCTCGCAGAAATTAATTCATTACAAATGGGATATGAAATTGATCATTGCTTTAAAAGTAATGCACAATCAGACCAAGAAGAAAAATTTAAGATTAATATATCATCACAGTCATACATGGATGACGTCACGTGGATTACTAAAAGTAAAGCTCAATTAGAGCAGATCTTGAAAATTGCAGACGAATTTAATATTATGAATAATATACAAACAAATTATGATAAGTTTGAAATGATAACGAACAAAAAGTTAGATAAAGATATTATTGAAGTTAATTTCAGATCGTCAAAAAGAATGATTAAACCATTAACATCAAAATAATCTGTGAGAATTTTAGGTGTTTGGATTAATCTAGATTTAAAAACTAATTATGTCTTTAATCAGTGCAAGGATATTATTAAAAGATATAATAAAACAATTAGCTTCAAACAAATAACGGATTTACAGATGAAATATATATATAATCACGTGATCATTCCTCGTGTTGACTATAAAGCACAATTGTTAGTTTGGACAAATTCTCAAACAGATAAATTAAATTCTACCTGTAGATATATGTTTAAAAGAAAAGCGTCATTGCCACTTACTACTCCTAATAGTATTATACATTCATCATTGAGTTACGCTATTAAAGATATTAATACGATTCAAGCTCAAAGACAATTAAGTAGATTATACAATCAAGTGACATCAAAGGGTATGATGAAAGACATTTTTGAAATAGATTGTAAACAATTGCAAAGCGAATTATTGTCTAATAAATCTCCATTAGCAACATGGAATATCCGTTTGAAAGATTTACAAGTAAAACACTGTTTATTAGCCTGTGTTTTAGCACTTTTATATGATAATATGTTAACCATAAAATCAAGTGGTGTGAAAGTTAATCAGATTCAAGGGGGATTATTACCAATAGTAGAAATATTTACACATAAAGAAATATTTTTAAATGGAATTAGTAAGGGTCTGAAAGGGAAAAATGTTTATTTCGTTAGTCAGTTAATGTCATCAGATGGTATACGTCTTCTGAGATATAAAGATTTGAAATATAGGACTAAGATAAATACACAGGGTAGAATCCCTAGGTGGTTCAAGTTTATAGAAACTAAACTGATTGAAGATCCTTTAAAATCTAAGAAAGTGAAGACGGATTATCAATTAGGATATAATATATATAGTGTAAATACAAAAATTGATAATCTAAAAACAA